TCTCTCTCTCTCCGTGCGCGAAGGCACTTCTGACAGCCAAGAATGTNTCTCTCTCTTTCTCTCTCTCTGCTGTCCTCTCTCTCTGCTGTCGGCAAGAAACTGCCCTCCCTGTCACTGACAAGCTGCTCTCTCTCTCTCTCTCTCTCTCTCTCTCTCTCTCTCTCTCTCTCTCTCTCTCTCTCTCTCTCTCTCTCTCTCTCTCTCCGTGCGCGAAGGCACTTCTGACAGCCAAGAATGTGACGCGACCAAGAAAGTGGCGTAGCCAAGAAAGTGGAAAAATAAAAAAGTCACTCACCAAGGCCTCTCTGCACTGTCGTGGTCACCAAGACAAAAAAAAAAGGGGTTGTATTTGTCCACGTTCTAGTGGAACAGTCATTCTCATTTTGCGCACTTACTGAGGAGTGGAGCAAGGGCCCAAGTAGGGGAAAGGAATAAAACTCAACCCAGAACATTGGAAAGGTACGACGCTACTTTACTTTTACCTTTTTGCCAAGGCTCTGAAACCCTCAGCCGTGGTCCAGAAGTGAGCCTAATCAGCCTGGACCCGACCCCCTTGTCAAGGTAAAGTTGGTCTTGTTCACTTGAACATAACAAATATGCGTTGTAAACGAATACAATGCACGGTATGCGTTGTATTCGTTTACAAGGCATATGCGTTATGTTCGGGGGAAGACGGTAGTCTAGTCTCTGTCGCAGCTATTGTGGGCCTGGCCCTGGTCCCTACAACTAAACCTCGTCATCGGTCAACAATTCCACCATTAATTTCAATAGTCTCCTTGTCCCTTGAAAAATTCCGGATAGCTTTCATGAAAAAGTGGTCAGGATAGTTCCATCGCCGCAGCTCCATTTTCACCAGGATGACCGCATCTATGACACCCATACCTGGAAATGAATAAATATAAATCTTGTGTAGTGCACTTACAATAATTGTCAATTTCGCCTTCTTGCATGTTGAGAACTCGAAGTCCTGAAATGCAGTGAAGGCGAGAGCCAAACCATTCCTGAGTTCTTTCTCATTCTTGACATTCTGGCAACATCCCAGGTAAGGAAATGTTTCAGCCACCGTCAATTTACAACCAAGGAATTCCCAAGTACCGTCGTCAATTTCAGTGTGCTTCAAGGTCAGCGCGCCATCATGACACTTTTCAAATTTCGCCATAATCCATTTTGCTTGCTTCCTACTTTTCTTCTTACGAGCATTGTATGCCACAAAGCAAGATGCATCATCAACAAGACGAAGACATGCCACGTATCTCCTGTAACTCCCAAGCGTGGTAAGAAAATCCCACTCACTTTTTGCACACATTATACAGGCAAGCGGTGGCTAGAAGACTTACCCATTGGAATAAAAGACCAAGATGCGTCAAGGGTTCCTCGAAAATACAAGAAAACAAAACTAACTACCAACTTCAACATCATGGACAGTGTACTTCCCCGAGCAAACGGGCAACGCACCAGCCTCATTCACTTACGTCGTTGTTGCATCTGTTGACAGAAGATTGGTAATGAGTCGTTTGCTTACAAGGTAGTGGGATTTCCGCGCGTGAGAGAGTTTTTCGTGCATTCAAGTTGGAGTAGACGTTTTTATTTTTTTCATTGACCAATTTAGTTTTTTTCCCTTGTTGACAAGGCGAATATCCTCCAGGTAGCTATATATTCAACCATCATTTTCCAACAAACCTTTTCGTTTTTTTTTTGTAGTGTAGCCCATGTATCATATGTCTCCAACTTTTGTAGATGTTCATAGAGAGA